AAATCCAGTTTGTATCTAAACTGCAACGTGTTATTTAATCAAATTTTTGACTTACTATGAACTGCTGAAAATAGTCTGGAACACGCAAAGACCCCCAGTGGGGGCAGGGATTGTATGAGTATGGGTAAGCAAGGAGGCCAAGGAGGCAAGCTTGGAAATGCAGCGGTGGAAGACTAGGTGGTCTTGTTCCTCCCTGTCTGCAACACCAGTGTTATTCCTTGCCAGCTGTGTATGCCTGAGAGAAAGATGCTAGTGACGCCTCCTTGTCTGCAGCACCCATACTACATATGCCTGAGATGTCATGTGCTTAAGAGAGAGAGAGAGAGAGAGAGATCTCCACTTGCAGCACTGGGCCTCTCCTTGCCAGCCACATGTGCAAGAGAGAAGATGATGATGCCAGGGCCTCCCTGCCTGCAGCGCTAGTGCTCTCATTGATGGTACCTTCCTGCCTTCCCCCTTTTTGAGTCAGATTTTCTTGACATTTGGCTGTTTGCCATTTTGAGTATTGCAAGCAGTCCATTTATATCTAGAGGGTATTCATAAGCCAGAGGTTAGTAATGTAACATAGACTTCCTACAGTGCAGACCAGGAAAAGTACACATGAATGGGATCTGCTCCTCTATGCCTTTTATTTTGTATTAAGGAAGTCTGGATTGGAAGGAGGGTGGTTTTAAAACTGGAGGGAGAAACATGCTGAAGACGCTATCCTGATAGCTGAAAATACAAATGATATGGAAGCTCTAGTAATAAATGTTAAGGAGCAAAGTGGGGAAAAAATGGGACCAAAATATAAAAAAGACCAAATTAATGACAAAAGGTACAACAACCAGCTTTAATGAATGAAGATGTCATAATAGTTGATAGCTTTTGTCTTTGAGGATCAACCATCAACAAGTGGATTATGCTGCAGACTAGTACTTGGCAGAGCAGCCATGAAGGTCTTGGAAAAGATCTTTAAATCTTTTTTAGCCATTATGCAAGGCAAAATACTGTGTAGGAATACAGGCAGAAGACTAACAGAGTACATCTATAAATATCAATTAGAAATCAGAAGATATAATGAAAACTCCTCAGTTCACCACACATAAATAGACTTAACCATAATTTCAACTGGGAAACTGTAAGCATACTAAACCCAGCTAAATCCAAACATCGTAAGGGATTCCTGTAACCTTGGCACTCAGAAAAGTCAGCCATCAAGAGGCCCATAGATATAAACAACACTTACACACCAAAAGAGGCAATAACAAAGCTAAAAAGGAAAGAAAAAGATCAGAACTTCTCCTCACCAGCAATCATTACTCAGATATGCAGAAATTAATATCAGGATTAACACCAGAGAAACAATCAAGGACTAAACAATACCCTAATTAAGGAATTATCAACCCAGACAAATAATCAAGCAATAAACAGCCTAATCATAGAACTACCAAGAAGAAAACATCCCCACCAACACTGACAGGGCATGCTACCGATTATAAACAGAGATCAAACTCCAGTTATTTCTAGTACTGAAGATATTGCCTAGTCCAGTAATGAAACATCTTCAAGGAAACAATCAAATTCAGAAAGCACCAAAAACTTCAGAAAAATCTTTAAATGCTATGATGTCTTTATCCCTTTAGAGATTAAAACTGTGCAAGCCATGATATTCCCTGTGATGTACAATAGAAGGAAACATTGTAATTGAAGAATCAGGTTAGAAGAAGTATCGACGCTTTTGAACCTTGATGATGGAGAAGACTCATGCGAATACTGTGGACAGACAAGAAAAGAAATAAATGGCTCATTAAAAGGAAGTGACCAGAATCAAATGATCCTATTTTATATGAAGACCTAGCTCTCTAGAAACTGCTCTGATGCTGGAAAAGGTGAAAGAGAAGAGCATGACCAGCAACAAGGTAGCTGGATATATTTACAGTCGCAATGAGTGCACTGTTGGAAAAGTTGAAAGGCCACATTAAGGATAGATTGTCATGAAAAAAAAATCACTGTGGTTACTAGGAGTGGCAAAACAATGGAAGTCGATCAATTGATCAATCAAGCAAGGATTTCAGCAAGTTTTTTCCAGGTTTTTAGTGCTGAAGATTTCCTGGTCCCCAGTGTTAATAGCAGGGGTTGATTCTGAGACTTTTCCATGCAAACCAAGATTCTTTTACAGAAGCATCTAAGAATTGAGCTCAAGTTAAAACGTGAAACTTCTTCCCAGTCACAATTAGAAGAGAAGACAATAATTGAACATTATGTTCTGAGTCTATTTACCATATAATAAGTAGTGCATTATTTTCATGTCTAATTTGTAAACAGATAATCCTTTACAACAGCTCTTCACCAAAAGGGGGAGAAAAAAAACCAGTGTTGTTATCATTTCTTAACAGGGAGAAAGAAGGAAAATAAGAAGGTGATGATTCTGAAGCAGGACTGCGAGAAAAAAAGTTCACACGACCCTTTGCTGATAGCAGGAGAAAGTGGCTCTTAATTTTGAGGATGACATTGAAAAGCTCTTCAACAGCCTCCTTACTAACTAGATAATGAGTGGCTGAAAAGGCAGAAGTAATTGTGAGAATCAAAGTTTGTGTAGACAGAGAAGGAGAACACTAAGAAAAAGGTTTTCCTTTCAAGTTCCATTATAAATTAAAATTATTTCAGGGTCATACAGGATCACACACGACACATTTTCAGTCCAAAGAAATGAATTATAAGGGTGACAAATGGGACACACACAGCAGTACTTAGCAACTCTTCATCCTTGATTTGTTACCCAGGTTTCCAATTAACACTCGCTACTGTCATCGGGAGTTTGCTGAATGCTATTAAGAATGCTATGTAGGATGCTAATGCAGGGAGTTCTCATTTAGCAACTGCCTCATTTACTGCCTGTTTGCAATTGTGACAGTGATGAAAAAGTAACTTTGCACATTTACAGCCTTCGCAGGTCTGCAAAGCAAAGCAAAGTTGAAATAAGTTGGTAAGTATAGTCACAGTTTCACTTAGTTACCACTTCATTTAATAACCAAGTTGCCAGTCCCAATTGTGGCTACTAAATGAGGATTAACTGTATTGTGTCTACAGAAGGACTGGCAATCATTATAGGCATATAAAGTAAGACATAAAAGATAATGCAGCATAATTTGTATAGTTTAGGTCAGGGGTAGGCAACCTTGGCTCTTTTATGACTCGTGGACTTCAACTCCCAGAATTCCTGAGCTAGCCATACTGCCTACCCCTGGTTTAGGTGCTAATGTAAACCTGAACAACTCAGACCCTATGATAAAATATCTAGTGGCAAGGATCTTTCATATGCCATTATAGCTGTTTATCAAATTAGAATATTACACTGTAACTATTACTATCATTAGCCAAAATGTGCTCATATTGCTCATACTGTATAAATAAAACACCTTAGGCAGAAAAGTCTAATAGAGATATACTGCTGCTAGCTATCGTTTGATTTTACTCATGTTTTGGGCACTACTATTGTTATTACATTTTTGCTTAATGATTTATGTCATACTGTTTTGTGCTTGTGATCTTATAATTCTATTTGCCTGACAATTCAGCCACTATGATCCTGACACAATCGGCTTTTAGTAAACTAGGTGTGCATTTGTATGTGTGTGTGTACACAAATGTATGTTTGTTATCTTAAACTTTAGGGGAAAAACAAAAAAATATCATGCTGGCATCTGTATTATTTTACTGTACACTTGCTTCTTCCCTGTGTTCCCCACAGCCAATCTGATGATAGGTAATTCAAATATTTAATGCCATTTCACTGGATTACCACTATTAGCTACTTCAGCATACCTAGAAACTGATAATATAAGAAAAAACATTCTATTGTGGTATCATATTAACATCTCTCTTTTATCATGTTACTGGGTAATATCAATTGAGTTCATATGATGGATGTATAATCTGCAATCCAAATTTGTCATCCTTAATGTTTATAAGAAAATAAACTGATTTTCTTATCAAAAGCAAATTACATCATTTAGAAGATTTCATATGCTAGGATGTAATTCAGAATTAGAGTTGGAAGGGACCTTGGAGATCTTCTCGTCCAACCCTCTGCTCAAGCAGAAAACCTTATACTATTTCTGATATATGACTGTCTAATCTTTTCTTAAAAACCTCCAATGTTAGAGTATCCACAATTTCTGGAGGCAAATTGTTCCACTGATTAATTCTTCTAATTGTCAGCAATTTTCTCCTTAGTTCTAGGTTGGTTCTTTCCTTGATTAGTTTCCATCCATTGCTTCTTGTCCTGCCTTCAGGTGCTCTGGAGAATAGCTTGACCCCCTCTTCTTTGTGGCAGCCCCTTAGAAATTGGAACACTGTGATCGTGTCACCCCTAATCACACACCTGCCTTTTTTATGTTGTCAACTTCCCATGGATCCCCCTGCCTCTATACTGATTTCCTTTTCCAACCTCTAGCTTTCAGCATAGTAGATGGAAAACATGAAGTTGTTTTGTACCACGATAGATTATCAGTCTAGTTCAGAGTAAGATAACTTGTAAACCTTCAGGCGTTGCTTCAATCAGTATTGCTAATAACTGATAAGGACTTGATCAGTTTCCCAAATCAGAAACTTCTTTCTAAAGTTAGAGAGGATTTTCTAGCCCTGCAACCTATGTTCCTTTTCGATCAAATTTCAGAGACTAAGGAAAATATTAAAATATTAAACATTGAGGAGTCATGTTATTTTCCAGCAAGTTCATGAAATCTGAAGAAAATGACCCACTTAAATGTTATTATGCAGCTGTAATAATATACTACAGCCTTATTAGGGAAAAAACAACAACAACCACGCAGCAATCTAGTGAAGTCAGTGAAGAGGAAGGGGAGTTACTCATTTTTTTTTTCAAATTTATTGGTGACACAAACAGCTAAAATAATCTAAGGCACATGCTCTAGTATCTCAAGAAAACAAAGCAAACCCCCTACCAAATGTCAAACCAACAGTATATCAATGCTATTTCTGATTCTTGTTCTTACCCATATCAGACATCTCTGGCACAGTAACGATATATGGTCCATCTGTAAATTTGGGTGCATTGTCATTGATATCTTGTACTTTGATAATAAACTCAGATTCAGGCTCAAGTGGTTTGTTTGTCCATCTGTCAATAGCTTGGGCATGTAGCACATAGTGTGTCTTCTTTTCTCGATCTAGGCTTTTGGTTGAATGGATGTCTCCCGTCGTGTCATCAATAATAAAGATAGTCCCAGCCCCTTCGCCAGTAAGAATGTATTTGACTGATCCATCACCTTTGTCGGAATTGGAGTGCAGCTGTAAAACACAGATATACATGTAATAAAATATTCATTCTGCTAGAACTTTGTCCAAAGGAGCACTAAAATACATATTTATGCCATATACATAACTGCTTAATGGAAAAGATAATCTTTTGTTTGCTCGTTTTAAATGGAATGAAACCAAATCATCTGATATAATCCCTTAATTAATCTCAATCAGAAATACAGTGGAAATAGGCTGCTTGGAAGGATTAATTATTGCTTCCAATGTGGGGAGAAAGGATAAAATAAAATAAGGGAGCAAAGCAACACATTTCCATATTACATTTAAAATTTCTACCCTCTCCCAGAAAAAGAACAAGAAAAAAAACTTGGGGAAAAAAACCCAGGGAATTATCTCATTATTTCAAATAAGTGCCTTTAAAGCATTTAAAATATTCTAAATATTTTAAATAATAATAGAATAGTAATAATATTCTAAAGAAGCAGTGTTCTAATTCATTGCTTTTTCAACTAAACTCAAACAGCTTGCTTAAAAGAGCATTTAAATATTCTAATATTTAAAAGAATATATTGTAAATATTCTGATCTTTTAACACTCTATTAAGCAAGCTACTTGAGTTTAGTTGAAAAAGTAATGAATTGGGACACTGATTCTTATCTTAATCGAGATATATGTTTTGAAGGATCAGGAGAATGCAAATCTCTGTATCTGTTTGTGTAAACAGCTCTAATATATTGAGAAGGCTTAACAAGTGAGATATTTTATAATGCTGTTACCTTAAACAGCATGCAGCTTCAAACTCATTCTCCTAAATAAAATTGATTTTTTCTTCATTAGATGAAATTGGAACATAGCAATGCCTTACACTAATTATCTTTTATCAAGCTCCTCCTTTAGCAAGCTTATTAGTACAATGCAGAATTTGCACTGTTTGCCTTAATGTCTGTAAAGCACTGGCCCCAATTCAGTGAGCAAAGTATTAATCCATTGATTATTGTAGGATTACAATTTAAAAAATATTATTTGCTCCTATAAAAATGAAGCTATAATAACAGAAATGGCGGCACCTTGGGATATAAATGTGATGTAAATGGGGAAAAAAATAAAAGACAAATACATTTTAAATCTGATATGATACATTTGCTAGTGGCTGCCACAGAAATTGCCATAATATTTTAATGCTTATTTTTCAGTCCACTTTATTTCCTCATTATGATAAATGACAATAAAACAAATAAACTACAACAACTAAAACATGACAGTTTACATTTAGAGACAGGAGGAATATAGAAACTCTTTTAAAAAATATCAAACCAACTGCCTTTATGACTTATACTGCCTGCCTGTAGACTGCTAACTAAAATAGGAAAAATTATTATCCTATTAATTATAGGTGAATTTTCCAACAACCATTGAAACGTAATGTGTATAATAAACATGTCAGACAAAAAATAACACAGCATTCACCTGATTACCCAGGAAATGATTAATAAATGTAGCTATCAACCTGTTATAAAAATATTTGTCAGAGTCATAGTAGAGAAGAACAGGAGCCATCAGTTCAACTCTTCCACACTTCAAGGTCAGATTTTAGAACTGGCAAGGGAAAGATGTAAGATGTAAAAGCATGAGGATGATTAGGCACTCAAGTTGACCAAGAAACTATTCAGCTGGTTGCCTAGTTAATTTCAGAGTGGATTCAATTAAATTCAATTTGATTTTCTATATCCAGAGTTTGAGTTCTATCCTGGTCTGGTTTTGGTCCAAGATCCACAATGACTTGGAACAATACCCACACTCCAGCAATTCATCCAGTATCCCACACATATTGATCAACTAATAACTGACCATATGCTGGAAGAGCGTAATCCCGTGGGCAAGTTATTAGTTATGTCAACCAATAATTGAAATCCTTTTTTACTTATTAATTCCATTCTGCAGGTAGACCTATAAAGCTGGAATTATGGGAAGGTTAGGAAAGTTCACGTCAAGGGTCAAGGCATTAGTAGTATGGTCCTGTAGGTGCCCTTCATACAGCATATGCGAGAAGGAGGGAGGCTAAATTGAAGCCAAATAGTCATAAGGAAAGGATTCTATTTTATAAGTATAGATAAGTCAGGTGAGATACATTTTGTAATGTATAATAAAATGTCCATTCCAAGGGCAAACTACAACAGAAGTGAAAAATAAAAATGTCATGAAAGATGTGGGTCATACCATAGCTTGCATATATTCAGATCTATTTTCAGTATAACCTTATATATGTCTGTTCTCATTTAGCTCAGGTGGAATTACTCCTAGATAAATGGGCACATGACTGTATCTTTAAGTGACTTGAGTTATATGGTGAATTTTTCCAAGGAGCTGTTACAAAAATCCTATATAGTTTTATTTAAAGGTCAGCTGAAAATAATGGTATAAGTAACATGAGAATTCAGATGCATTTTTATAGTTTATCTGAAATAAAGTGCCTCAGGCAACTCTGTTCTTTTCTTTGATAAACTGTTGCTATAGCAAATTATAATTTTTGTGTTTGAATTTGTAGACACAAACATTTAACTCAGAAAAGCAACTGATGTTGTTTTATTATGGGTGGTTGCACAGTCAGGCAGATTTGGCATTCTTGTCCACCTATTGAATCCTTCTCAAGAACCTGGAATAGGCAGAAATTGTTGGGGAATGCAGAGCTGAAATTTTTCAGCAGGCAATTTTTTTCACTTTGCTTAATGTTCTGGAACCGAGAGTGCCAGGATTGCAGTCATTGAGTGAAGCAGTCATACTGCATTTTGCTTAATGACCATTTTGCTAAACAATTGAGATTCTCATCCCAATTATCGTTGTAAGTCAAGGACTATCTGTATATCAAAAATAACAACATAAATATTACCAATTAATCAATAACAAATGTCAACATCAATTACCAGGTTTTTTTTGGTTTTTTTTTTAAACATTATCAGGCTAGGTTCACTAATGGCTAAAATGTAAAATAAAATGATAATTTTATTGATTGTAAGTTGATTGTAATTATTTCTAAATATATACATATTTGGCTTCTTAAAATTCCAGTTGTGATCAGATTTGGAGGCATCAGATTTGAAAATATGTAGTATACCCTGAGCATAAAATAATATTGTTAGTTTCAGATCCTCTTTTACATTTGACTATGACTAGTCAGCACAAACCTATTCTAATGTATCAGAAATGGGGTATGTAAATTTCTGCTGTTATTACATACTGTAAATGCAGAGGAGGTAGAATGTATTACATAAAATTAGATACCTAGGTCAATAGACATAGAGCAACACAATCAGGTAAATCCGAGCCATAGCTATCAAATATCAAAAATATCTGCCAGGTTATCCCATCTTCTTTATGTGGATGATCTGAAACTAAATGGAAAGATATCATCTGGAATCACTATTCAACACTGTCTATATATGAAGCCATGGCATGGAATCTGAACTGGACATTTGTGCACCCTTTACACGAAGATGGGAAAAATAATGAAAACTAAAAGAATCGAAATATCTATGGAAGCAATATCAAGAGTCTGGATGAAGAAGACCACTATATATACTTCGGTATCCTTCAAGTTGACAATATTCATTTGCTCATTCATTCCTTCAAAACAGGGATCTCCAAACTTGGCAACTTTAAGACATTTAGATTTCAAACCCGTGAATGGAGTAAGGAATTCTGGGGGTTGAAGTCCACAAGTCTTAAAGTTGCCAAATTTGGAGATCCCCGATTTAAAACATTTAGATAGCTTCCCATCTTTTAACAAACTCTGGGCAATTTCTAATCAAACATCAACATCAAGCACACCAAAATCTAGAAAGTTGGTAATGAATACATAATGAAAATGAAGATCTTAAAAGTCCAAACTCATTGGAGGAAGTACCGTCAAGGCAATTAACATCTGGGAAATTCCAGTCATTAGATACACAGCTGGACTAGGGTACTGGACTCAAGCAGAACTAAAAGCTCTGGATAGGAAGATGTGAAAAAAGAGTGTTGAAATAATATCTGAAGGATTGTGAAGAAGGTACACTGAAGCTAGTACACCATGGATGTTTACTGAATACTGAAAAGTTTAAAGTGGCCTGTAAGAAAAACAAAATGAAGAATAGAAAAGAGACAAAGCAAGGCAAAGTATTATGTAGGCAGTCCATAAAGGAACCAGGAGGCAAAGCAAATGACAACAAGACTTGGCAATGGCTAAGAGCTGGAAAGTTGAAGAAAGAGTCAGAGGGGATAATTCTGGCTACACAAGTCCGGACCTTAAGAACAAATGTTTACAAATCCTAAACTGAGAAGACAGCAATAGACACCATATGTCATCTCTGCAAAGAAACTGCAGAAACAGAGCATCACCAAGTTAGCTGCTGCAAGAAGATCAAACAAACTGATTACAAATAATGGCATGACAAAGTAGCAACAATGATGCAATGGAATATCTGCAGGAAATGCCACTTGACAGCAAAATAGAAGAGAAAAAACTAGAGAAAATCACAAAATATAAAGACCCAAAAAAAAAGTAAAACAAATATGTCAAAAGAAACTATAGACAATACCAATACTAATAGACACAATGTTACGTGCAATCCTAAAACACCTGGAACACCAATTGAACACCATTGGCACTGACAAAATTGTGAAAGGCAGGTTTACTTGGAACAGGTTATATTCTGTGATTACAATTTTAATATCATGAAACAATGCTGTCTGCCTATCCTACTGAACAACGTAAATAAACAAGCAAAATACAGTCTAAATAGGTAGCTTAGTGTGCAACCAGCCAGAATAATATAATTAGAATAACCCTCCCAGAGTCACTTGGCTAAAATGGGCTGCTATAAAAATTAAATAAATAAATAAATAAATAAATAAATAAATAAATAAATAATCCCATGTACTTCTTGTATATCATAATCAATTATTTACAAGGTCCTTTCCTTTACCATAGTATATAATATTCTCTGAATTTATATAGCTGCACTTTTGTATGAGAGCAGTATGAAGTAGGATCATTATAAATTTTGTGGTTAGCATTGGGGAATCATATATGAATTAGTGGTTTTTTATCTGGCATGCTCTTAGAAAGAGA